CGCTGCACTTCCCAGCATGCCAACAACCTCCGCGCCTGCCGCCATCCCGATGCCCGCACGCGGCGCGTTGACTGCACCCACATTCGACCCTTCGAAGCCTTCGGAGCTGCGACGCTACTTCTCGGATGTCGAATACCTGCTCGATCTGGCGCAAATCAGTGATGAGCAACAGCGGAAGAAAGCTTGCGTGCGGTACCTGCCAATGGACGACCAAGAACTGGTCGAAGGCCTTGACGAATTTGCTGACACAACCAAGTCCTGCGACGACTTGAAGATTGCTACGATGGCGCACTATGCTAGCAACGACGAACAGCATCTTTACACGTTGAAAGAATGGGATGCGCACCTGAGTGCCACAGCCGCCGCTGGCATACACTCAGAAAACGACCTTGCCATCTTCTACCGTTCGCTTGTCCGCATGGGCAAGTTCTTGATCTCGAAGAACCGGCTCTCCGAGACCGAACAGAGCCGCGCATGTCTTCGTGCACTTCAGCCCGCATCCCTCCATACTGCCGTCACACAGCGTCTTCAGATTTTACGGCCCAGCATTCCCCTCGACGACCCCTACGACGTGAAAGATGTCTACGATGCGGCGAAATTCGTGCTCGCGGGTTCGTATTTCGCGTACGGAGCCCCCGCCACCTCTGCAGCCTGTTTCTGAGCGCCCGCCAAGCTCTGAAAAGCCGCATTCTGCTAGCCAACTCGAAACAGACATGAAAGTGCTGCTCACCTCAGTTAACCAACTCGTCGCCTCTCCTCGCCAGTCAAACACGCGAGCCCGTGGTCCAAACTCCAGTCCAAACCTTCTACCATGCGGTCCCTAGCCCTGCGATTGTCCAGCGCCCGCCCGGCTGCTCATACTGCAGCGGAATCTCGCACTTCATTCGCGTCTGCCCACAGATTCGCGAGGACCGCAAATGACAACCTTTCTCACTGGTGTGAGAAAGAACAAGAAAAGCAAGAGCCCTTCAAACTGCTCTAACTGCAACCAAAGGCTACAGCACAACCAGAGAGGGAGAAGAAGAAGGAAGACTTTGAACTCTGAGGGAAACTCTGCTAGGGGAAACTATGATATGATATGGAAACTAAACTAGAGACAGGCTTATATACACTACTAACTAGGAGCTAGGAGAAGGAACGGGAACAGGAACTATAAGGAAACATATAGGAACTAAGGAACACATAAAGGGAGAGATCAGGAACAACTAACAACTATGGACAAACAAGACCAAACAAGCAACAACAAGCCAAAGGCTTGTCAATATACCTACACACATATACATATACACACACATAAATTTTTCTGAAAAACAAAGTTTCACAAAGATTGAATTTTTTGTGCCACTTTTCAATCACCTCAGTGGTCACATGATGCTAATCGTAGGGACATATTACCCTATATGGCAGGAGGGGTCCCCAGAGGGTTAGAAAAAAAACTTTCTGACCCTATATCTGCGATTTGAGTCCTGAACCCTGCTTGCAGCTACCTAGCAGGCGGACCCTTAGAGCTTCTTCTCTTTGGATCCTTCCGCTAGGACCTTAACCACATACTGTATACCACTTTCTATATACTCTAGGCTGCCTACTGCCCATCTATGATGCCTGAACTGTCAACTAATCAAAAGCCAGAAAAATGAAAAGAAAAAAATTAAAACTCCGTAGTATGCCTAGTAAATCTCATGAGACTTGGCCTGGCTTGAAGAGCAAAACTTTCTCATTTTTCTAGCGCTAAGCAGACAACCCAAAAGCCAAGGCAAGAGCATTGCAATTGTATTTTTCCCAAAGTATGCAAAAGCTATCCTCCAGATAAACCAGTGACTTCCCGTCACTAGGTGATTGGATCAAAGAGGGCAAGAGGAGACCTACCAGCTGCACCAAAGCACTTATTTTTTGAGCCATTTTTGAGCAAGCTACAAGCCATATACCCCGCCACCCAAATCAGGCAAAGCACTATGGTACCATCCATACAGCCATGGATGCACCCAAGGCTGCATGGATGGAACCATGGTCATGGGTTGTGTGACACCCATAGTACCATCCATAATTTGTGGATAGTACCACCCCCAGGGATGATACCATGCATTTGGTACCTCTTAGGCCCAGGGTTCTAGGGGTAGATTAAGCATAAGAGGTAGGTGCTTGACCTAAGGCCTCTGGGGTTGTCTTTACACACTGTTGCAGTTTTATAGCCCCCTCTATTGCGGTTATTAGGAAATTTGCACGAGCCTGATATGTGTTAGCGAAGATGGCCAACGCACATCAGCTGACGGAGGGTTGGTCGACGCTAGCCATGCTGCACCGTGCTGGTCTCGCAGTGGCCTGCAGCGTACCAGCCAGGTGTCATTTGGCCAGCGTTGGCCAGCGGCACATTAGATGAGCTGAATGGGAATAAATAGTAGTAGTAGGGCCAATTGATAGGCTATAGAGCCTTAATAACATTGCAATATGAGTCTCAGACTGTAGTCGAGACTCTGTTTAATCACACTTAAAATATCGCGAGACGTCACACATGTGACGTCTTGCGATTATTCTTTCTCTCTTCCCTCATGCCCTAAGCACTGTGTCCAGAGGACCTCGAGCTAGATGTGCCCCTCGTCGCAACCCAAGGAGTGTTATAAGCTCACTCGGGAAATCCCTAAGGCCACCATCGAATCACTTGAAGTGGGACTGAGCACTGACAGTGTGGGAGTGAGAGAAGGGGTCAATGACACACAGGTGCATGCATGGTTGTATATTGTTATAGCCAGTGATATTTAATGTCTTTCTTAGCGCGACCGTGATTGTGATGAGGGTTGGCCTTTTGTTGAGCTCTGGATGAAGCAAAATCCAGTCCTTCGGGTAACCAGTCGTGGCCTCAAGTGTCGAGTGCCCTTGCCTCAACTAAAGGTGTGTGACATCTAAAGAGATGGTTGTAGTACTAATAAGATTTGCAGCCAGATCCGGCATTAGAGTCTTACCATACTAAACTCCGTGCACAGATTCATCACACCAAGGGGGAGCACCAGAAGTACGGCCACGGTCAAATGTAGGTATGAGATGAGCATCACGAACAACATGCTCAGGGTCCAGAAAGCCAAATGCAAACAGGTCCGTGTCCGGAATAAATCCCACAACAGGAAGTCGACCTTCACGCAGCCCTGAAGTATAGCCAGGTGCATCTCCTAGCTAACGGACCCATAAGAACTCCATTCGGGTGGGCCAAGTTCGTTCTGAGGAAGTGACTCGGGAGACAGTTGCGTTAAAGATCCCCAAAACTTGGGCACCAGTATGGGTAGGCACAATGCTTATGTGCATTGGGGGAATGGACCATTACAAATGGCAGTGCACTTGAGTTCATGACATCTTGATCATGTCGAATATTGTAAGTCGTATAATTAATGCGAAACAGCTTGTTTGCGTAAATTTTGTCGCTTTGAATATCTATTGTGCGTCGTTCGGCATCCGAAAATGTATGGTCAGCATCGCCATCAAAGTCAAGCTTTAGAATGCGAGCTAGAAGATGGTCTTGAAGGTGTGGGATAAAGAAATAATATATATCAGATGATAAGAACAATTAACAAATAAATCTGACCTTTAATGCTGCGGAGTTAGGATTGAAATCAGTGTACAGATGTGGTCGGCGACGGGATAAAATGATACAATGATGAATCTCCAGTACTTCTGTACCATATGGGTCAGCAAAAAAGACTTCAGCTTGTTGCATGCGGCGTGGACCTGTGGTGCGTTTGTGAGGAATAGAACGAGGCTGGGTCTTAACTTTGTAGGCACCGACAGCTTGCGACCACTGTGCTCGCTGGATGTGCATAACACGTCATGCAATTTGAGGTGCATGGTCGCGCTTGCTTATTACCGAGTACAGCCGTTTTACAAGTCGGTGAAGGCTTTCACCCTGTTCTCCAATTAGCATCTGGAAGATAGTTAAGTAAAGACAAACCAGCCGCGTTGAATAGACATCAGTCGTAGAGAAGAGTTGAATGGTTGGGGGGTAATCGGCCATAGAATGATACTTGTAGGTATTCAAGTTGAGAGTCTTGCGCTTTTTCCCCCGTTTCTTGGGACACTACCTATTGCTAATTCTATGCAAAAAATGCTGGCAATTGCTTACCAGGCTAATGCAAAAGATGTCAGACCTCTTGTATTTGCTGATTTTCTTAATGGAACTGATGCATATGACTAATGTTTTGACATATTATATCAGATAAATTACCTTTTCTTCAGGCTGATGACTCGGTATGTAATATTAGAGACTTGATAGGACAGAAACAAGGAAATAAATAATGGCTTAAGTAAGATTGATCTAACAGAATTCAGCTATCAAAAGCAGTGATGGCAATCAAAAATCGTTTCACATTAGTCAAAATACCTTATTGCCATCAATCCCATCAATGGTATAATCTCCCAGGTGCTAAAAACACAGTAATACTTCTTTAAATAATATATCCTAGGTCCTTGCCATCATCTTTTGCATTAGCCTGGTAGGCAGTGGCCATCATCTTTCACATAGATGGAGCTATATGAGCTGCTTGGGAATAGGAACAGCCCCAACCACTTCCTTAGATTGGCTGGTGTCGGTGCGCTTCTCGGCATCTCTAGCATCTTTTCGTTCCCGTGCGTTTGCTTCCTTGGGAAGCTCATACGTAGCAAACTGGTGACATGTCGTTCGCTTGAAGTCACGGATGAGTCGGCCTATTTCCGGAGTTAAGACACGAAGGTGCTCCAAGGTCGGGTCTGTGTGCATGCGTAATTTTGCGAAGGCGTGCCATTCCGTCAGCCGGTAAAGCAGCTTAAGGATGCGAGCATTATGGTCAACCGGAAAGAGTCCATCAAAAATGGGGATAGCACACTGGAGAAGATCTTCAAAGTCACGCACACCAAGCTTCTTCATCTCAGAAGTGTTGTTTGGAAAGCATTGAATAGTGTCTAGGCCAAATGTTGGGACGCTTCGATAACTGTACACGAGATTAAAAAAACTATGGAGGTATAAACAATAGGACTCACCGTCAATTCAAGTCAGCAACAAGCTCATAGCCCATTGGCTGTACATGGAGAAGACGGATAAGATGCGTGAATATATTCTTCCAGACCCCAAGCTCAAACTCGTGCATGAAGTCCACCACAAACATTTGATGAAGCTCAAAGTTGTTGCCCAGTCGCTCTATAAAGGCATTCTGGATGAGATCATTGTTACTAAAATATTAGCTAACCATGGTAAATTATACCTTTGTTGGAACAGAAGAAGTAGGCTTGAGGAGAGCTTCAACTGTTTTGGAGCCAATCCCATAAGCGAGGGTATTGTTGATGGCTGATTTGAGATAATGGCGAACATGAGAACCAATTCGAGCGGCAATATCTCTGACAAATCCCATCAGATGCATTTCGGTTTTGGGAATAAGGCATCGTGGGCACGGGCATAAGCCGCTTCGGATTGTTGCTAACAGAACCCTGCGAATATGAGAAAGGTCTTAAGAGCTAACCAAGACATCACTTAGTTCTCAGGATAGTCCGCAGAGTACATGAAGATTCGAGGATATACACGACGCTCCATGCCATCAGCACACTTGATGACCATACCATATCGGTAAGCATGGACAAACTCATCGTCCAAGAGGATCTTCCAGACGGCGTGGAACAGCTTGTAAGGGCAACCCTGGAGACTCCGACGAAAGCCTAGCAGGGGAGGATCCAAAGCGTGAATAAAAGCTACGGGAAATACACGGAGGGACCGACCTAGCAGGGGAGGATCCAAAGAGAAGAAACTCTAAGGGTCCGCCTGCTAGGGCGCCAACTATATACTGGTCGTCCGTAACTGCCGACGTAGAGCGCAGAAGGCCTGAGCGGCGTCGCAGGCTCTGTCCCAAGGTGATCGTTGGGAGGGTCTTGACGGATCGGTGATTGTGCGGGCGAAGGAGGCCGTGGACGATGGTCGGGGTGGGTCGGAGCGTCCGAGGGGGCGCCGGTCGGATGCGCCTCGGATGCGTTCGGAGGGTCCGAAGGAGGCCGAAGCGGGGGTTCCCCTGACATCACCCCCCCCCTTTGAATGCGGCGTCCCGACGCATAATACGGAAGGGCAGCGAGTCGAAGGTCGCTGAGGCGATGTGCCGTGGTTTACCCGGGTATCTCCGATAGAAGTCCGCAATCTTGTCTGGCGCAAAGACACGGTCGAACCGAACCCACGAGTCGTGTGAAGCATCGTAGCCTTTCCACCTGACGAAATAGTTAAGACGCTTATACCTTATCCTGGCATCCAAGATTTCCTCGACTTCCCATTCGGGAACTCCGTCCTCTAGTTCGGGGGCGGTTCGTCGTAGCCGGGTCGTCCATCGAAGGGGTCGTCCTGAGCGGGCTCGAGCTTAACAACGGGGAAGACGGGGTGGAGCTTGGAGTAACGCGGGGGGAGGTCGAGCTTGTAGGCACCTTTGCTAACCTCTGCGAGCACCTTGAACGGTCCAAGGCGCTTGTGGGAGAACTTCTCGGAGGGCCGAGTCGTTCTGATGTCAGAGGCGTCTAACCAAACCTTATCACCAACTTGAATATTCGGAGCGTCCGAACGTTTCCGATCGTAGTACCGTTTATACTCGTCTTTGGCTTTAACGAGCGCGGCCTTTGCCTCGGAGACGCCGTTTGCTATCCGATCGCGAAACTCGTTCACCGACTCCAACTCTGAGCGGGCGCCTGGCTCGAAACCCATTCGGGGGAGCCGACCAGTGTCAGTCATAAAGGGTACCTGTTGAGTGGAGGAGTGAACGTGGTTGTTATAGGCGAACTCAGCGGCAGGGATAAGCTCGTCCCAGTCGTCTTGTTGGTAGTTGGTGAAGATCCGGATGTACTGCTCGAGCTCTTGGTTAACGCGCTCGGTTTGTCCGTCGGTTTGCGGGTGGTAAGCCGTGGAGGTAGCCGGTTTGACGCCAATTAAGCGCCAGAGTTCGCGCGTGAAGTCAGCGATGAACTGCGAGCCACGGTCCGAAATGTACTTCTCGGGGGTTCCGTGGTGCCTCCAGACGTTCCGATAGTACAAGCGGGCAGCTCCGACCGCGTCTATTGTCGTATGGCACTCAGTGAAGTGGGCACGCTTTCCGAGGGCGTCGACCACTACCATAACCGCGTCATACCCATGGGCCTCGGGCAGCTCGACGATGAAGTCTACAGTGACAGTGTGCCAACGTTCGGGCGGGACTTCGGTCGGATGCAGCTCTCCATGCGGAAGCCTTCGGAGGGCCTTCGTGCGGCAGCATAAGTCGCAGGTCGCGACGTAGCGTCCGATATGGCGAGACATCTGCGGCCACCAGTAGTTGCGCGAAACCAACTCTAAGGTCTTGAACCGCCCGGCGTGTCCGGCGACTCGCGTATCGTGGCAGAGCTCGATGATGCGCCTCCTTAGGTCCTTGTCTTTAGGGACTACAACCTTGCCGCGGAAGTACAGGAGGTCGCCGGAGACGGCCCACTCGTCCGAACGTGATGAGCGGGGGCCCCGAACTTGACCTCGGACCTTCAAGAGCTGCCGGGCCGCAAGCGCGACGGGCTCCTCTAGGTCAGGCTCACCGGATAGCGCTTCCTTGATGTCACGGACAAGTTCGGAGCCAGGCCCAGAGACGGTGACGGCCTCAAGCGCGCGAACGTGGAACAGTTCGGGGCGTAAGAGGGTGACATCCGAGTTGTCTTCGGAGATGCCGTGGTCGGGCCGGGCGGGAGAGAGCATCGGGACGGCCCATCTGGCGACCTGGGACGTGGTGCAGCGTAAAGTCAAACCTAGAAAGGTACAACGACCATCGGGCTTGCCGACGATTAAGGTGTTGCGCCTTTCGGAAGTATTCCAAGTTCTTATGGTCAGTCCAGATCTCGACCGGATGTGCGGCGCCCTCGAGGAAATGCCGATACTCCTCGAGTGCACGGATGATCGCGAGCATCTCCTTGTCGTGAATCTCGTAGTTGCGCTGGACATCATTTAAGCTTTTGGAATAGAACGCTACAGGGTGCCACTTCCCGTCCGGGGCGGATTGTTGTGAAAGAACCGCCCCCGTCGCATAATCTGAGCTGTCTGCTTCAAGTCGGAAAGGCCGGGAGTCGTCCGGGATCGCTAAGACGGGCTCTGAGACGACCGCGTCTTTGATAGCTTGAAAGGCGGCGGCTTCGGCGTCTCCCCAGGCCCATTTCTGGTCTTTCTTGGTGAGCGCGAAGAGAGGTTGCGCTAGGGCCGAGAAATCCCGAATGAACCTGCGGTAGAAATTAGCAAACCCCAGGAACTGCTGGACGTCCTTCTTGTTCTCGGGCGGAGGCCATGCGGAGACTCCGGCAACCTTAACGGGATCCATTTCGACGTGGTTGTGAGAGATGATAACCCCCAGGTACTCGATTGACGATTTCTCGAAGTCGCACTTCTCCTTGCGAAGGTACAGCTTGTGCATTCGGAGTCGCCGAAGAACTTCGCGGACGATCTCGCGGTGCTTACGGAGGTCCGAATGTGCGACAAGGATATCGTCAAGGTAGATCATAACGTCTCCTGAGAGAATGAGATCCTGGAAAATGTCATTCATCATCGTTTGGGAGCGGACAGTCCCGAGCCAAGTGATTGGGGTCGCCACATCTGAAGCAGGCTCGACGAGGGGCGCCCCGAGCCCTAGTACGATCCAACTCCATAGGGACGGGAGCCGGAGGTGCCGGGACGGGGGCGCGGGCCGCGGGTGGCGCAGGTGCGGCCACCGGGCGGATGGGGAACGGAGTTGCCGAACGGGCGATAGGGAATGCGCCACGCGGAGCCCCCGAAGGCGTCCGCGGGGTGGTCCCTTTGATGAGCTTCGCCCGCACCAAGGCTTCGTATTGGCGGAAAGCCCGAGTGCGCCAGCCCAGATAGTCACGGAGGTCTGGGGGGTCGTTCAAGACGTGATGCCGTTGTTGATCAGGGGGTCAAGTCCGTGGCGGTACTTGGTCACCTTAACCAACGCCGTCGAATCCGGCGAGGTCCATTAGGTCCTCGAAGTCGTCGGTGTATCCGTAGACATCCCGCGTTCCCATGTGATAACCCGCGCTCTCCAATTTGGCAAGCGCAAGGTCCTGCTCGTTCTCCTCAACGAACCGAAGGCGAAACTCGGAGAGGAATAGGTTCCACCGAGGGAAGGGGAAGGGGGTTTTGCTCCCATGACGCTCTGCCCACTGCTGAGCAGGCCCCTCCGCCATATAGGACATGGCGTAGCGGACGGCCTTTTCTTCGCTCGGCTCTCCGTTGACCACGAAGGCCTCCGGGGCAAGCCGAGCGTAAGTCTTGACCGCGTATAGGAAGGCGCGGCCGCGTTTGCGATCTCCGTTAAACGCAAACGGGGGGTTTGGTCGTAAGACCAGTTTTGAGGCGACAGTAATATCACCAAATAACGCATCCGCGTCGGGGGCATTCGAAGATGCCGAAGGTGGTTCGGGAGCTGCCGAAGGGTGGTGCGGCAGCGGAAGCCTGGGAAGCAAGGTGGGTGAGGATATTGGTGAGGTTGTCTAGTTTCGCCTCAAGTGCGTCCATGCGCGCGTCAGCCCCGGAGCAGCTCCGGTGGACATAGCGGGCGTAAAGACGACAAAAGCAGAGGAGGAGGGGTCAAGTGGCAGGGGCGGTGACGAGGGGGGGTACGGACTCGTACTCCGAGCCTGAATCAGCGCCAAACCTGGCAATCTTGACCGGTTAATCCCGTAGAGAGTTTCTTCTGCTGTAAGGGCAACCCTGGAGACTCCGACGAAAGCCTAGCAGGGGAGGATCCAAAGCGTGAATAAAAGCTACGGGAAATACACGGAGGGACCGACCTAGCAGGGGAGGATCCAAAGAGAAGAAACTCTAAGGGTCCGCCTGCTAGGGCGCCAACTATATACTGGTCGTCCGTAACTGCCGACGTAGAGCGCAGAAGGCCTGAGCGGCATCGCAGGCTCTGTCCCAAGGTGATCGTTGGGAGGGTCTTGACGGATCGGTGATTGTGCGGGCGAAGGAGGCCGTGGACGATGGTCGGGGTGGGTCGGAGCGTCCGAGGGGGCGCCGGTCGGATGCGCCTCGGATGCGTTCGGAGGGTCCGAAGGAGGCCGAAGCGGGGGTTCCCCTGACACAGCTCACGTTGACAATGGGTTAGGATGTTGTCATTTTGAGTTTGCCATTTGGCATGGAAGTTGGAAATAATGTCCTGAACAGAGTCGGGAAGCTACAATTTGATTAGCGTCAACATCCGAACTAACTATACCACCTACAGATGGTATATATGCAACATGGTGCTCCGCCCCAAACCCTGGCTTATCATGGATAAATTACCAAAAAGAAGGTATATTGGCCAAAGCTTTGCCGTTCCGAAGTTGGCGAGATGGGTGGAGTCCGACCAAAACATCAGCGCAGCAATAGTTTTCTCCAGCTTGCAGTCTGGGGACTCTGGAGGAAGCTCGCCACGAAGTCGGATCTTGTTGTGCTCTTCGATAAAGGCATCAGTAGGCAATGGCACGGGTAGGCCATACCCGCGCGGGTACGCGGGTTTTACCCGCGCGGGTACGGGTACGGGTCAGCGGCGGCCTTATCCGTGGCTTGATGACTCAGCTGGCCTTGCTCCCTTGTGGTGTCTAAGATGCTCTGCGTTCGACTCTGGTCTCGCGCAGCATTTTTATCCCACCTTCCGGACAATAACCAAGATGTCTCTTCCTCCTTGCCTGCCCAAACCATGGGTAAACCCATACCCGTACCCGCGGGTATGAGTACTGTGGCTGTGCGGGTACGGGTGCGGGTAGGCCCTCGGATACCCGTGGGTATACCCGTGCCATTCCCTAGGCATCAGAGTTGTAGAGCTCGCTGAAGACCCGAATATCCTCGCCTGTGCTTTGGACTCGGTGGAACAACTTGAAGGGGGGTGAAATGGAAATGTCGCGACAATGGATCAGCAAAGGCAGTCCGAATAATTGACACGAGGCTTCGATACCATAGCCCTGGAACAGCAACTATCCGCGAGGGGACATCCGGCGACCCGGACGGTACCTCGATGTCGACCGAGGCTTGCTTGAACTGCTTAAGCAGCGGAAACACTTCCTCTGCCGCTTTCTCAACCTGCTTCTCTGCCTGCACCGCTTTGAAGCTTTCAAGTTCAGTAGTATTAAAGTCGGGATGCAGCAGGATGTCTGAAACCAGTGCATCAAGTTGCGCCGTCAATTTCGTGGTATTTATTCTGCCAGTCAAGCAGCAAAGATGCGGGCAGAAGATCGATACCGGTCTTGAAGACTTTGCGCCGAACTACTATGTTCGCACGTTCTACGCTGGCTTTCATGGGAACCCCGAGGAGCTTGAGAAAGGTTTTCTCAAGACCCGGTACCTCGTTCAGGTATGTGCAAACTGGCTTCATTCTTGTTGACTAACATAGTAGTTGCAGACTGTCTCAGCCATTCTCCTGGTGTCTGTCGAAGCAGAAGATTGCAGAGACTGAGAACCAACCGCCAGCAAAGGAAGCCAAGACCAAGCGGACAAGCACACGCCAAAGCTGCGCTGAGCTCGCAGGCCTCAACGGCAAGATAACTGGGCGAGCTATTGCTTATGGGGCCATACAGGTGCGTGAATTCTCATGCATTACCTCCCAGCTTCTCATGAACCACAGCTTTACATGTCGCTCACCTCCGTGCATCAATGGAGCGAAATATACGGCGGTGTGTCTCTCACACAGATGTACGACTTCCTTGTGGACTACTTCGAGGAGCCTATAGAAGGCTCTACAGCACGCAAGCAAGTGGACGAGCTTTTGGCATGGTGGAACAAGTAAGTACGTGGTATTTCTTCAAGTACCTGCCTTCTAACTCAACGACAGAATCCTTTTCAAGACGCATTTCGCATCCGCCAACACATACAAGCCATCAGTTAACTCTCGCGCTGCCCTACGCGCCCAACGAGATGCTTTGGAGTTGTCAAATAGGATGTAAACGACGTGTATTCATTATTTTTTACCCAATTATACATTTTTTGGCCCGCGAAAGACCCGAGTACAGTGAAACCATATGCAGCGGGTTGCACGCTGCCCACTCCCTCACCACACCCGCCACATCTCCCCCAGATATGACAGCGCGACACCAGCTGTTATGCATTTGGCGGAAAATCCACCAGCTGGTCACAATATGGTGGGTGTTGGCGAAAGTGAGTCGCGTTGGTGAGCATTCGATAAGCGGTGGCCAACTGACTCACCAGCCTGGTCATGCTGGGGGTGTTGGTCAGCGCTGACCATCGTTGATCAGGATAGCGCAAATTTCCTGATGGTGTAGAGAGTTTTGAGACATCTCTTCTAAAGTTCTAATTGGAATGGATGCTGACCATAGAGATGACAAGTGCTAACCAGCCCCTTGGTCAGTTCGCTGCTGCAACTGATATTGATATGGATCATATACATGTGATCACCGGATCATTTCATGGCGCTGACGTCAGCCTCCTCGCGTTTTTTTCCTCCTTCTTTCCTTCCTTCCTTTTCACCCTCCGACCCCACAGGCTCGCGTGCGCCGCCGACCGGGTCGCTCTTCGATGGCGCAGCGCAGCGCTGGCCTGGGAAGAGCGCATACGCGGCATCGGGGCCGGCGGACGAGATAACATATGGTGGGTGGTGCGAGGAGCAAACCGTCGCTGCTGCCTCAGGCTGTCGGTGTCGCTATCGATGGCTCACTCGACACGGACAGGCTTCTGGGCTTCTGGCGGCGACACGACAGATATACTTAGACACGACGCGACGCGACGCGACAGGCCGGGCTGGGCTTCTCTCAATTCGCGCGAGCAATTGCGTGTGGCAATTGAATCCGCGAGAGCAATTGAATCAAGAATTGAATGCAGAACGCGAAGGCTCAAGCTCAAGCGAGGCATCACGCACTTCGTACACACGCTCACGTCGTCGCTGCATCTGTTCGTCCCTGAAGGGAAATGTATTGCATGGGGAAAGGCCGAGGGCTCGGTCGTGCCAGTGTCCGTGGTTCCTTCCCTGCGCGTATCCACCCGCGATATTGCCAGCTCTTGCGCACCTGCTGCTGCACTCCCACAACTCCCAGGTCATCTCCGCACCCGCACCCTCTGCACCCTGCCCACCCAGCACCCGGGGCCCGGAAAAACCCCGTCCGGCGCTCGCCCGCTCGGCGTAACGCTAACGCGTACGTGGCGTTGACTGATCTGCAGTGTGTCCGCTGCCAGTGCCACCCGCCGGTCAGGCCCGTGTAGGCCCCAATCTTCGCGCGTCAAGCGGTATCGCGCGCGGGCCTGGGAAGGGAAGTCGAAGGGGGGGTTCTGGATTCTGGTGCCTTCGGCGGAAGTCGGGTTGCCCTTTCCATCCACCGCCGTCCGTCTTCTGGGCCCCTGCCCTAGCGTCCACCGTGCCTCGCCAGCGCCACTGGCCAGCGCTAGCGGCAACGCTATCTCGGTGGCACCGCTGACGCTGACGCATCACATGGCCCGCGGCATCCGCTGCCGGGTGGGCGCTCCCACGCCGCCACGCCAGATCACGCGAGAAGCCTGATCGTGGGGGCTTCTATCTTTGCGCATATAAACCGTCCGGTGCCCTCGTCTCCACCCACTCCCTCCCTTCCCTTCCCCTTTCCTTTTCCGCTTTTCCTTACGATGAGCGCAGCTACGACGGAGAAGCCGGCGTCGCCGACGACGTCGACGGACGAGAAGCTCGCGGTGGACTCGTCGCGCGGGAGCGAGCTCGGCGCGGACGACGACGTCGCGGAGGACCCGCGCATGGAGCACGTGTGGGCCAAGATGGACTGGTGGGTCCTCCCGCTCGTCACCCTCTTCTGGCTGCTCTCGTTCCTCGTGAGTCCGCTTATCTTTACTCACCTTCGTCCCCTTTCCTTTTTTCACTTGCGCTTCCTTTCTTTCCGCCTCGGCTCCGCGCTAACGCCCCCGCCAGGACCGCACGAACATCGGGAACGCGAAGGTCGCGGGGCTGATGAAGGACCTGCACCTCACGAACAAGCAGTACTCGATCGCGCTCACGGTGACGTATGTCCCGTACATCGTCGCGGAGCTCCCGTCGAACCTCATCCTCAAGGTGGGCTCCATGATTGTCTACCTGATGGAAAGCTGACGGGAGCGCAGAAAGTGGGCCCGCACCGGCTGCTGCCGACGATGCTCACGCTGTGGGGCGTCGTGACCGCGTGCCAGGGCACGCTCAAGTCGTATTCCGGGCTGCTCGCGTGCCGCTTCTTCCTCGGGCTGCTCGAGGGTGCGTTATTCCTTTCCCTCCGCCCTTATCCGACTGACCGTGTAATGATAACAGGCGGCGTCTTCCCCGGTCTGGTGCTCTACCTGTCGTACTTCTACCCCCGCGCGAAGCTGCAACTCCGCATCGCAGGCTTCTTCTCCGCGGCGGCGTTCTCGGGCGCGTTCGGCGGCATCATGGCGTATGGCATCGTCAACAACCTCGCGCACACGCACGGCCACAAGGGGTGGCAGTGGATCTTCATCATCGAGGTGCGTTTCCGCCTCTGCTTCTATCTCCGGCGCTGATAATTGGAACAGGGCGTGATCACAGTGTTTATCGGGGTCATCTCGTTCTTCCTGTGGCCGCCGTCCGTCGAGAAGGCGCGCTTCCTGACGGAGGAGGAGAAGACGTACGTCACGGGCCGCCTGCGGGCCGACGGCGCGATCCACCGGGACGAGGCGGCGGACGGGTTCCGGTGGAGCGAGATCCCGAAGGCGTTCCAGTCGGTGCACGTGCTGCTGCTCGCGGTCGCGTTCTTCTTCAGCGGCACGACGCTCTTCTCGCTGGCCTACTTCACGCCGTCGATCCTGCAGGGCCTGGGCTACACCGCCGCGAAGGCGCAGCTGATGAGCGTGCCGCCGTACTCGGTCGCATTCGTCGTGTCCGTCGGCACCGCGTGGGTCGCGGACAAGTACCGCTGCCGCGGGTGGGTGAGCGTGGCCGGCTCGGTGCTCGCCGTCGTCGGCTTCGGCATGTTCCTGGGCAGCGCGAACCACCACGTGCAGTACGCGTCGCTGTTCCTGTCGATCACGGGCACGTACGTCGTCGCGCCGACGCTGAGCACGTGGAACGCGAACAACAGCGCGCCGCACATCCGGCGCGCGACGGCGATTGCCATTGCGTTCAGCATGACGAACTCGGGGGGCATCCTCAGTACGTGGCTGCTCGGCAGCATCTCGCCGCCGCCGCGCTACGTCGAGGGGACACGGCTGCTGCTCGGCTTCAGCGTGGGCATCCTCGTGATGGCGCTCGCGACGATCGGGTACCTCAAGTACGAGAACGGGAAGAAGGCGGAGGTGCGGAAGAGCACGACGCGCGAGGAGGAGGATAGCAGCCTCGGAGATCGGAGCGCGTGGTTTGTGTATAGCTTGTGAAAAGCCCCTGTGCGGCGTATATACCTGGTCGTGGTTATTGGTTATTGGGTTGTGTACATACGGTAGAATCGCATCGTTGTAATGTTTCCCTTGCGGGTCCTTTCCTTCCTGCGGGTCGGCGTGTGATTTCGGTGAGCGCACCCGTTTCCCTCTAACGCCGAGGTCCGTCGCGGTGAGGTGAGCTGCGGGCGCATCGCGAGTCGCGCCTTCTGTTCTTTGCGATTATCTTGTGCAAATCTTATGGCTTTGTCTTTGCGTCGCTATCAGCGATATTGCGGGCCCGTCCAGATCGTGCGTCCTTAATTTTGATTGATTTGCGGGTGTGTGATCAGAGTTTCGAACCTTGTTATTAATAGGCGGCAGGTTTTGGCATGGGTCGGAAGACGGACGACACACGACAGATTCCCAGACGAAGAGCGCTGTACTCGGCTCTGATTTATGGACCTGCGAGATGTGCGCGTACGGGCATTGGCAGGGCGTCGCGAAGCTCGAACAAGAAGACCCCCATCCAATTTTCGTCCCAGCAACCATAGGAGCTCGTCGGCGCCGCCGCAGATGTATATATAGCCCGAAGCCTCCCAGTCTTCTAGTAGTACTCGCGTCGGCGGATCCTGATGCTGATGCTGCTCCAGTATCGGTATCATCTCGCCTTCTCAGCATGTTTGCGGGTAACCCTTCCATCAGCTGATGTGACGCGTACGTACGTCGCCACGTCATGACTCACGCCCTTCTCCTTCTTTGATCTGCTCCACGATGTGCATGCTGGCCTGTTCGCTCGCGCTCGCGCAGAGGGAATGGGAGCGCTGGAGCCGGAACGGGACTGGTTTCAAACACCCGCGTCTCTGTTGACCCGCGTCTCGGACACTGCCCGCGCTAGCGGCTGGAGCCCCACGTCGGTGAGTCGCCGGTACCGCTGGCCGTCGAAGTAGACTGTAGTTGCTTACCGCTACTGTGAAAATTTGCAGATAACGCCCGTGATGTGCTATTCAGTGGCGCAATATCTTGGCCAATCTTTACCATCCACAATCTTTCCATTGACAATACAGTTGACCACCAGCGATAGAGTGCAACTGCAAGCGCCGCGGGGGGCTTCGCGATGATCAGCGTGTGTCATGTACAAGACAAGTCAGGATGGCGTACGTATACGACAGCGACAGACGGACAGTCCTAGGAGAGCGCAAGAGCAGGCAGCACATGCGTACCCTGCGTCAAGCCTCAAGCTACCCTCTCCTTCTCTGACTTCTGGTGATGACCCAGCGCCACAGCCGGACGTGCAGCGAATCGAAGCCCCCAGCGGCGCCGGCATCTCGCCGCACCGGACCGCGATCACGACACCGTCTATATTTGGCCGCTCCTAGAGCCCCCCTTCCTATTAGGCTCGCGGGCGCTCCCACGCCAGCGCACAGCTGATGCGGGCTTCGATTGGCTCGCAGGGCGATGCAGGGCTATATATACGCTACCCCGGGCGAGATGCGTGCTTCTTCTGCGCTACCACCACCCTCCTTTATCTCCACCACTCGTAGTACGGCGACTCGATGGCCCCCTCGTCGGTCGACATCGCGACGTCGACGCTGATTGCGCTGTTCGTCGAGGCGGTGCTGTATGGCCTGTTCATCCTCCTGTTCGCGCTAGCCATGAGCGTGCTGCTGGGGAAGCGCAAGCGCTCGGCGAGCGGGACGCGGCCGCTGCTCGTGGCCAGCATAACCATGTTCATCCTCGGCACAATAGTGCGTCCCCCCTTCCTCCTCCCTCCCGAATTAGGCAACTGAGACGCCTGTCAGCACATCGCGATCGACCTGCGGCGGGCGATGGACTCGTTCCTGTACCACAAGAACATCGCGCCGGTGTCGACGCCGGGGTACCTCCTCAAGAGCACCGCGTACGCGATGCAGACGCTCGTCGGGGACAGCTTCATGATCTACCGCGTTTACCTCGTCTGGAACGGCGACAAGCGCGTGCTCTTCCCGCTGCTCGTGTGTCTCCTCGGGGGCTTCGGTGCGTGTTCTGGACTTGTTTCAGGAGTGGGAGCAGCGCTGATGGGGACATAGCCGCGGGGGCCGGCGCGCTACAGTCGTTCGCGGCGACAAAGCATGCGACGACGGGCGACCCAATTTTCTTGATCAACCTGCACAACTGGATCGTGTCGTTCTTCTCGCTCACGCTCTTCACCAACGCGACCTGCACCCGTGAGTCTCCTCTTCATTGCCCGTTCTTTTTTAATCCGGACCCCAGTGCTCATCGCGGGCCGGATCTACCTCATTAACCGGAGCACGGCCGCGTCCGCGACGGTGTTCGGGCGCGGGCTCGGCCCGGCGATCATGATCATCGTCGAATCTGGCGCCATCTACTCGTGCGCGCTCGTGATCCTGCTCGCGCTGTACGTCCAAGGGAGCTACGCGCAGTACATCCTCCTCGACGCCGTACGTCTTCCCCCTAGGCTATCGAGTTTTGGCTAACGCACACACAGGAGACGCAGATCGTCGGCGTCGTCTTCACGATGATCATCGTGCGCGTCGGCATGGGGCTCGCGACGGACATCACGACGTACGCCGGCTCGCGCTCGGGCGCGGGCAGCGGGCCGAAGTTCCGCTCGCACGTCTCCGGCGCGCGGAGCGGCGGGCCGACGGCGACGCTCGAGCTGAGCCCGCGCGCGGGCGTGAGCGTGACGACGACGCAGGAGGTGAAGCACGACGGCGACAGCGGCGAGGGGCAGTATGTGTACACGAAGGGAGGGGACATGTGGCATTCGGGGCACGGGGAGGTGTGAGCCCTGGGATTTGGGAAATGGGAAGAGATCTTGTTTATTTGGTTATTTTTTTTTTTGAGTATGTGTATGGAAAGACTGAGGAGTATCTATCTGATTGTTCTACCTCGGTATCGAACGCCTAGCGGATGGTGTTTATTTGACGCACTGTAGCTAAGGGGGGGTTCAACAAGGGGGTCCCAACTTTCAAAAATCGGATATACTTACGAAAAGTTTTTTTCAGGCCATCTGGGACCCCCTCCCCCTTACCATATTGGGTAATATATTCCCATGATCGCACATCATGTGACCTGTTGATGCGATCAAAAGCGCCGATAAAATACACATTTTAAGGCCCTGATCGGCTCCGGCGGGTTCAGGAAATGGGTGGGTCCGCGGGCGGGAAGTCACGTCGTGTCGTGAATTCATCTAGATTCATCTCTTGCCTACGGCTGTAGGGTTATTGGATGCGTAATCACACACATATGGCCAATAGTGATGGCCAGGTCCGGTTCGGGATTTTGGTTCGAACCCGAACCGGACCGGACTGAACGCGCGTTCGGCGTTCAGGTTCGGCCAAGGCCGTTTCCGAACCGAACCTGGCCCTCGGTTCGGCCAGGTTCAGCCGTTTTCGGTCCAAAAACGCCGGTTCGGGGCCGGTTCGAACCGACGTTCGGCGTTCACGTTCGGCAAAATCCCGTTTTGAACCGAACCGGCGGTCCGGCGTTCGGCCGAAAAGGGCCAAGAACCGGACCGAACCGGACTTGGCCATCACTAATGGCCAACCATGACAACCAACAACAGCAAGACACCCTAGCCCTCATCCAGCAACGCCACTTGACCGTGAATGCTGCTGTCCTGGCTGCGAGGTTCTTTGCATCTGAAGGATTGGGTCTCTGGAAAGAGCTACCCCGGCTATGGAAGGTATACTGTATCAAAAGTTTTACTTCGTTCAAAAACACTGAAAATTCTGGTACAACTTTGATTTTACTCAAAACTCAATGACATCCTTACAGCTTTTCATGCACAAATTTATGGCTGACAAGTATTACTCTTTGCAGCAACTTGACAGGAACAACTTACAACTTTGAACCACTTATTGCAACTTTAGATATGCAACTTTCAACTTTAAACATGCATATGCAACTTGCAATTCACTTGCAGCAACTTTCAATCTCTCTTATACATCTCTCTTATACTGCAACTTCCAATAGGTGCAATGCAACATTTTTTTTGACTTAACTTGACTCTGAAATAAGCAGAAATTAGAAATTCCTGGAAGGGAGTTTTTCATTTATTTATGAAATATTATATATTTCAATCAGATCATCAAATTTATTTCCATGATTAATATTGGAGTCTCCTGGGAGTCAATGAAACATCAGCGTATTCAGAAACAAGTACAAAGCCTATACGAGGGCAGTTTTTTTTCTCTTCTGTATGTTTTATAGTGATAGCCAGGTTCGGTCTGGCTTTTCAGTTTAATCTGAACTTAACTGGACCAAACCAAGGTTTGGCATTCATGTTTGGCCAAAATGTTTTTGAACCAAACCGGAGCTTGGGTTTGGCCTTTTTTGCATGAAAAAGAATGTTTTAGGACCAGTTCGAACTGGAGTTTGGCATTCAGGTTTGCCAGATCCAGTTTTTGAACTGAACCAGCAGTCTGGTGTTAGGTCAAAATGGGACAAAAACCAGACCGAACCGGACCTGGTCATCACTAATGGTTCAGTTAGTAATGTGTCTTGTCAGATTGATCACCCAGATCGTAATGTGAGGATACCTTCTACAAGCTTCTGCCAACCTCCCATTACAGTCATACTGCTCAGAGTAACAAACACTCTTTGTATAGCAACAGCACAGTATATAGTCAACTGTATAGTAGGTGTACCCTCATATCTCTTCAATATGTCTTAGTCTGTAGGAAGTAATTTCTTTATGGTGTAACAACTGAAGTTCCCTGGCCTTTAATCCCTGTAATAAGATATATGGGGATAAACAACAGTCTCTACTAACATAAGACTTTGCTAAGCTAACTTAGTTGCAATATGTAATATGAAAAGTTGTAGTTGTGGCAAACAAAATTTGCAGCTGATGACTTTAAAGTTGTTCTGCATGTTGAAAACATGCAGCAAACACATTCAAAGCTGGAGTTACTCTAGAAGAAAGTTGCTATGTGAAAAGTTAAGATTGTAGTTGAGGAAATGAAAGATGTTGTTGTGAATCACAAGTTGTATTAATCCCTCTAGGAGTTGTTTTAGCTTGAAACATGTGGGAATACATTGTTTGAAGTTGTGCATAAAAAGTGTGCAAAAAGGAGTTGAAAGTTGTGAAAAACTTTTGATACAGTATACCACCCATACCCGGCCAAAGAACACATCAAGCCTCACCGGTGCACAGTGGGTCAAAGATGTTCTCGACGGCCACCCTGATCGCTGCCGCCGAGAACTTTGGCATCTCAGCAACTGTATTCGCACTCTTGCATCTTGAGCTTGTTGCTTCTGGAGATCTTCTTGACGGACGACATGTTGGATTTATCGAGCAGCTCGGCATTGTTATCTATTGGCTTGTTCATGGCAGCAGCCAGCGGGAACTATGTGAACACTTCCAAAGGTCTCCCGACACTATCAGTCAATATCTCAACCGTGGTCTATGCTCTCACTGGTTCATTCTACACAAAGTACATCCAGGATCCACTAGATGAGACACCTGACAAGATTCTCTTCAACGACAAATGGTACCCTTTTTTCAAGCGCTGTCGTGGAGCGATTGATGGAGTTCATATTTATGCCCATGCCCGTGAAGTTGACATTACTCGATATCGTGACCGACATGGCAACGTAACACAGAACATACTTGCAGCATGCGACTTCGAGCTCCACTTTGTATATGTTCTTGCAGGATAGGAGGGAACTGCAGCAGATGGCGCCCTTTTTGACCGAGCACGGCAACTCTCACTATCTCCCCCTCCGGGTCGCTTTTTCCTTGCAGATGCTGGTTTTGCCAACTGTAAGGGCAACCCTGGAGACTCCGACGAAAGCCTAGCAGGGGAGGATCCAAAGCGTGAATAAAAGCTACGGGAAATACACGGAGGGACCGACCTAGCAGGGGAGGATCCAAAGAGAAGAAACTCTAAGGGTCCGCCTGCTAGGGCGCCAACTATATACTGGTCGTCCGTAACTGCCGACGTAGAGCGCAGAAGGCCTGAGCGGCGTCGCAGGCTCTGTCCCAAGGTGATCGTTGGGAGGGTCTTGACGGATCGGTGATTGTGCGGGCGAAGGAGGCCGTGGACGATGGTCGGGGTGGGTCGGAGCGTCCGAGGGGGGCGCCGGTCGGATGCGCCTCGGATGCGTTCGGAGGGTCCGAAGGAGGCCAAGCGGGGGGTTCCCCTGACATCACCCCCCCTTTGAATGCGGCGTCCCGACGCATAATACGGAAGGGCAGCGAGTCGAAGGTTGCTGAGGCGATGTGCCGTGGTTTACCCGGGTATCTCCGATAGAAGTCCGCAATCTTGTCTGGCGCAAAGACACGGTCGAACCGAACCCACGAGTCGTGTGAAGCATCGTAGCCTTTCCACCTGACGAAATAGTTAAGACGCTTATACCTTATCCTGGCATCCAAGATTTCCTCGACTTCCCATTCGGGAACTCCGTCCTCTAGTTCGGGGGGCGGTTCGTCGTAGCCGGGTCGTCCGTCGAAGGGGTCGTCCTGAGCGGGCTCGAGCTTAACAACGGGGAAGACGGGGTGGAGCTTGGAGTAACGCGGGGGGAGGTCTAGCTTGTAGGCACCTTTGCTAACCTCTGCGAGCACCTTGAACGGTCCAAGGCGCTTGTGGGAGAACTTCTCGGAGGGCCGAGTCGTTCTAATGTCAGAGGCGTCCAACCAAACCTTATCACCAACTTGAATCTTCGGAGCGTCCGAACGTTTCCGATCGTAGTACCGTTTATACTCGTCTTTGGCTTTAACGAGTGCGGCCTTTGCCTCGGAGACGCCGTTAGCTATCCGATCGCGAAACTCGTTTACCGACTCCAACTCTGAGCGGGCGCCTGGCTCGAAACCCATTCGGGGAAGCCGGCCAGTGTCCGTCATAAAGGGTACCTGTTGAGTGGAGGAGTGAACGTGGTTGTTATAGGCGAACTCAGCGGCAGGGATAAGCTCGTCCCAGTCGTCTTGTTGGTAGTTGGTGAAGATCCGGATGTACTGCTCGAGCTCTTGGTTAACGCGCTCGGTTTGTCCGTCGGTTTGCGGGTGGTAAGCCGTGGAGGTAGCCGGTTTGACGCCAATTAAGCGCCAGAGTTCGCGTGAAGTCAGCGATGAACTGCGAGCCACGGTCCGAAATGTACTTCTCGGGGTTCCGTGGTGCCTCCAGACGTTCCGATAGTACAAGCGGGCAGCTCCGACCGCGTCTATTGTCGTATGGCACTCAGTGAAGTGGGGCGCTTTCGAGGGCGTCGACCACTACCATAACCGCGTCATACCCATGGGCCTCGGGCAGCTCGACAATGAAGTCTACAGTGACAGTGTGCCAACGTTCGGGCGGGACTTCGGTCGGATGGAGCTCTCCATGCGGAAGCCTTCGGAGGGCCTTCGTGCGGCAGCATAAGTCGCAGGTCGCGACGTAGCGTCCGATATGGCGAGACATCTGCGGCCACCAGAGTAGTTGCGCGAAACCAACTCTAAGGTCTTGAACCGCCCGGCGTGTCCGGCGACTCGCGTATCGTGGCAGAGCTCGATGATGCGCCTCCTTAGGTCCTTGTCTTTAGGGACTACAACCTTGCCGCGGAAGTACAGGAGGTCGCCGGAGACGGCCCACTCGTCCGAACGTGATGAGCGGGGCCCCGAACTTGACCTCGGACCTTCAAGAGTTGCCGGGCCGCAAGCGCGACGGGCTCCTCTAGGTCAGGCTCACCGGATAGCGCTTCCTTGATGTCGCGGACAAGTTCGGAGCCAGGCCCAGAGACGGTGACGGCCTCAAGCGCGAACGTGGAACAGTTCGGGGCGTAAGAGGGTGACATCCGAGTTGTCGT